TAATTGATCTCACGCCAATTCGCGGAAATAGCCTCCGTGTGTCGCTCAATCTGGCCAACAAGTGCTAAGCAAAACGCAACATCTCTGAGCGTGACATGAACAGCCCGCAAGTCATCCTGATCCAGCCTGGGCCCCGCTTGAAGGGTAAGATGATGGAAAAGGATCGTGGTGTCCTGGAGACTGAAGTTGACATTTGACGACACCATTTCAGTAAGTATAGAAATCCACCGTCTGTTTTTTCCTGCCATAAGGCCCTGATGAGCAATGTATTCGTGGACAGTCAATTCTGATGGACACTCCGCGATGCTCGCAATGGTTTCATACGAAGAAGGGCCGTTTCCGTCTGCTGCAAAACTTGGCGAAGAGTAAAGACCCGAGAACGCGAGTTCTTTCGGGATACTTAGAGCAAAATGGTGAGCTAATTTCAATGACTGTGGGAAATTCTTGGCCCAGGTACCACGTCGCGAGTCATAGTAGGAGAACTTCAACCCTAAAGGCAATAAAGTTTTTGAGGGGCTAGCTGGCAGCTTTTTGAAATTGTAATGAGTCCCTAAATAAGATTTTGTCTTTGACGCCAAAGAGAAAGTCTCACTGTTCATATTATAGATCTCGAGCTGAGAATAGCTACCCAAGAGTACTTGCGGTGCTTCGTCGGACTTTGACGCAATTTTAGGAGAGAGGCAATTGATGATTTCCCAAGTGACACTGCGATATGTTGAGAACGTCGAAGGTGGGTTAAGCTCAAACAAAGTTATACGCCTTTGATAGGGGTCTTTTGGCAGAAAATCTTCATGGACTTTGATCTTTAGACGTCTGCGAGAACGAAGGTGCCAGCAGTGCTTGCAGCCTTTAATATCATGCGAGCCATCTAGATGCCGCTTCTGTGTACAAAGAATTTCTTTCATCTTCTCTGTGCGGTCGATATATTCCTGATTAACTTTTTGTAGCTCCTTCTCTTTGGAACCTCGTGCTCTTGTCGATGCAGCGTCAATGCGGTCATGAAGCTCGTACAGTTTCCCCATATTTTCAGATTTGTCATAATTGATAAAATACTGGGAAGCAAAGCAATCTGCTTGGGTATCTGCGAAGATACTGATATGTCTTTTAGCCCGAATGCATCTGCCGTGGAGATATTGTTGAATGACTTGAAGACGCCGCATATCGTGGAGACGCGATAGTAGCAAGACATCGAGTATTTCTGGTTCGATAAAAGGGTGATACTCATGCAGCAGCGGATGAACGAAAGTCGCGCATTTGTCTATATGCACCCACAGCTCAAATACATTGAGAATGAAGATACTCATTTGCTCTGGATTGCCTTCATAAGCATTCCCGACGGCTTCCAGGTAACCGCGGATCTGAGCAGCAAGATCTTTGCAAATCCGAGAACACATGTCCTTGGATTTAGGGACACTAAGATCTGTAGACTCAAAATTTTTTTCCAATTTATCCAGCGCGGAATACCGCGAAGTCATGGAGCTGAAGTATTCGGTCGTGGTCTTGCTTGAATTGGGGCCAAGAGCAATTGGATCGACAAACACTGGTCTCAACCTCTGATGACGAGCTTGGGTAAGAACCCCTTGGAGGTAGGATCTGCTATTAGGAAGAGTCAAGTAGAGCTCACTGTTTGGCGCACGCAGCGGTAGGGGTGGGATTTTGCGTCGACAGTCCGCCTTAAAAGCGTTCCACTGGGCTTCAATCGCGGATGTGGCAGTCTCGATAATGCTTTTGAAAAGGGGACCGATGTCTTCAAAAAGCTTGGTATATACAGAAGCAGTAGGGGGAGTTGCAACTGCCTGTTTCTCATCTTCCAACTTAGCCAGACGACGGCATAACTTGGCTCTGAGGATAGTGCACCACTCGACACTCAGGTGGTTAACGGAGTCTTTGAGCAACTCCACAAGAACACAACACATCAGGAACTTGTAATTTGCTTGTCCCTTCTCCTCTCCCATTTTCGAGGAGAGTAAGCGCTGTACCGCAACGCGTAGTGTAAGCCAGAATGGACTTCGCCGCCACGGCAGTTCCGCATTATCCCAGACCACATCATCCTTGATGCGCTTCCGAAGAATGGGAGGATATATGCGGCTACCGTTGACTTCTAACAAGGTCATGAGGAAGCTTGTAATGAGTGTAGGGTCAACCGTGTCACGGGTTTCAGAAATCGTTACGCCAGCTTTGAAAGTTTTAGCTGCAAATTCGTCAAGCGGCTCAAGACTTGCATTTTCAAGAAACGTGACTAAGTTCTCTTGAAAGACAGGATTTTCGAACACGGAACGGTTTAGGGACGCAGCAACGCTGGGGAAATCCCATTGCATGGCTCCCTGTGATGCCATAGTTTCCTCGGTGGTGGGTGAAGCCTCGAAGGCTTCGAAAATGACATCCACACTGTATAAACGCTCTGTTAGAACAGACCAAGACGGGTGTTTATCTCCACTTACCCCACAGATCGAATGAGGAGGCCGGCGTTTTGCTCCGTGATATACAGGATGACAGCATTCTGATCCTCAAAGTCGCGGAAAACGTTCATCAATGCCATTTTGTTCACATATTTACCCTCGTTTACAAGCCCACAGGTCCGTAGGACTTTCTCGATACTCTGCCATATAAAAAGGTCGTCATCTCCAGCACAGGATTTCATCGCATTGGTTGCGCGCAAAAGAAGTGAAAGTAATTTTTGGTCGACATCCTCAATATTGCTGTCCTGCTTCCCAGGAAGTTTTGGGGGCAGGACGATATGATTGAAGGCCAGTTCAAGGATAGGGTCCTTCGCCATGGTAGGGTCCTGTCAAATATAATGTTAGATTCGGAGAAAGATGGGATGTATATGAGCAGAGACAAAGAACCAAACATATCCTCTGGATCTGGGGGGAAGGGTGTTGTTTGAATGGTTTGCGCTCACCTCTTTGGTGCCTTTCAGACCTGAAACGCTTTTAACCATAGAGAAGCACCAGCTCGCCGCTGTCGACCACTTTGAGGTATTCCAACTCATCAACGATGTCGACATTCTATTGCCCTCGTCTCAGTTCATTTACTTGGCCACCAATGAAGTATCTTGTTGGGCTCCCACGGCAAGAAGAAAAGAAAGCCGTAGAGAAATTTGGGGACTGCCCTGTTCTGACACAATTACAGCTGCGCAGTATGATATCTTAGGACCTATTTGGAGTGAATAGAAGAACCTTTCGAATGAGAAAGCTATTGAACGGAGTATTTATAGAACGTCTGGTACCCTTCCACTTGAATGCGTAAACAAAAGGCGCTGCGGCAATACGACACCAAAAACAGAAAATAATGCAGCCCGCATGGCTTGACTATGCACTCGCCCTAGTAAAGAAACGTTTGCTGCATAGCTGTAGTCCCCATCGAATAACATATGGAAAATATACAGCGCCGCAAGCACGTCTTATGCGGCTAAAACCAGCGAGGTCCATGCGCAAGTTGGGCAACCGATGAGTGGATGCTATTCAACGTGATATTGTACGGGCGATTCGCCTATGCACATCACTTTATGACATCATTTAGCATAAAAGGTGCATTCTCGTTGGAAACGGAACGGCTCGAACCGAGACTTTAAGAAATCCATGATTTTATAGCCTTAGATCGTGGCTTATTTCACATGGTTTCTTCTGGGCTCTGTGGTTCTGATTTCAGCTGCAGCATATCAATAAGGGTATCTGAGATGGCCTTCTTCCAAGATAAGGAAACTTGCATCCAGTTGGTCAGTGGGATAGAATCATTGGTCCATTTGGTCGCCAATCATACTGTATCATTGCTGTCAGCCTCGCGTTGGTGCTTGCCCCTCCTTTACAAGACAGATGAACTGTACCTCGCCAGAGACAAGGCCTTGAATGGGGCCGCAAGGACCGCAAACCAAACAGGACAAACGTAGGAATTCTGTGGTATGCATATTTTTTATGCAAAATCTAACTATCTGTATTCTCAATTATTTTTGCTTACAGACTAGTTTAAATATAGATGAATACTCAAGTAGGTATTATATAAGTAAGATTTAGATTGGAATGGGAGTTTTTTATTTGTTAATCTATTAAATCAATAGCATTTCATACACAAAATCCTTATCGCGTCTTGGGCGCTTTGGAAGCTTCCCTGATGAGCGCCTCTGAGTACTACTATTGTGACAGCTTGACATCGTCCATACGGCTCGACACTACGTATAAGACTAGTCATAACAGACGACACCGACATGAGTAGAACCCCGCCGCACAGTGGTTATAAAAGACCCCTTCATCCTCTAGATAGGCTTCCTTTTCTTTTCTTTCTCCAGACTCGATGTTCTCGTCGATGGCTACAATAGTTTAGATAGGAATATAAATTTCGTTAGTATCTGCTATTTCGAGCTCGTGGCATCTGGTTCTGATATTGTGATGAATTATGATAGAAAGAGGGGGTGTGTAGATGACTCTTCCTAGAGTGTTTTGACTAGAAGAAGAAATAGTTGGCTGCTGGTAGAGCTGCACTCAGAGCAGTTTGCATGGATTAAGCTGCAAAAGCCGCATTTAGTGACAAACTAAACTGGTTGTGGTTAAAGTTGGATTGGATTGGATTCAGATTCTCCAAAGTCCAAGTCGCATTGTAATCTGTGACAATAACTAATAATGTACAGCAACATCAGGAATTAATTAAAATTAATATTTCATTACATTTGTATCATCTATATCGGTCTCAATCTCTGTCAACCATCTCCGATGCAAAAATAGTCATATATTTATATACATTCCGAAGTTGCCCAACCATTCATATTTACTCCGTACCCATGTTTTTATGCAATTGTGGTCCCCCGCGGTCAAGACCACAAGAGACCGCAAGGGACCATGGTTCAGTCCGGTCCTTGGTCACCGACTATAGGACCGGGGCCGCACCATTTCGAGGCCTAATCCCACTCCCCTCTAAGGCAGGATAATCGCAAGCTTGCAGCTTAATCTGTCTTAGCTCAGATAGATAGCCCTTGGTAGCAGTGAAAAGATATTGTAGCCTTCACACTAGAGCATGTTCAGCGAGGTTGTTTCAAGTGCCGGAAACAGGCTTTGCGTTTTGCTAAGGAATGTAAGCCACCCAACTGATAAGCCGGTGACGCCGTTTAGTATCAGTCGTCGGAGACTATGTCGGGATTGATACAAGATGGTTATGAGATCATCTGCTTTGATGGCCGTGAATGACAGTGTCACTCGTTCCAGGTTTCTTGGCAGATTACTAGACCTGCTAAGTTGGGAGAAGAATTCAACAGCCAAATCCTTCGGTCCAAGGCTGAGATACAGCTTGCGTGCGTTCGGAGCGTGCAGAATCATATCCATAAGGAACGAATAATTTGATGGCGTGGGTTCGTGTTCCAGATGCAGATTCTCAAGAGCGTTCCATCCAGCTCTGAATCCGGGATTGCTGAAGAGGGCTTTGGGTAATCGGGAGATGTTCATAATGTCGGATGTGTAATTCATTCCTTTTCCGTACCAGAAAATCTTGATAGGTAAGGAGGCATCTGCGATGATATCCAGCAGGATACAAGCTGCATCATCAGGATTGAACTGTCTATCTTGCTCTTCTTTTGTATGTGCATGTCCAACCGGCGAAATAATAAACGACCGACAATTCACCAACCTCAACGCCAAATCATCTCTGAACCGTTTAATAACAGCCATATCCATCGCTTTCTTCACATGCCCGGCCATGCTCCACTCCCAATTCACACCGCTCCCTAAATACGGCTCGCGAGTCATAATCACCAGTCGCTGCACATACCCCCTCATCACCTTATTCGAAGCAATAGCATGGATATGGTCGAAATACGCCTGCGAAAAATCTATGTAGATTTCTGTATATCGCTGCGCGAAGCGGTGTATTGTTAACCGGTACGCGTCGCGACATGTTCCCATTAACGAGGCGAGGTCGCGAGTGCTGAGCCCGTCACAGATCATTTCGACGATCTCCAACGGGAGTGTGGGGAGGATGCAGGTTGGGGATTTGGATTTGGATTTCTTGATGAGATTTGGTTTTGTGATTGTGGATGCTTGGGGAGGGACTGTGTTTAGGATGGCCATTTTGATCGATTAATTGATAACTGAATGAGTGAGGCTTGAAGAAGATGGAAGTATTATGGTTGTAGAGGGTGATGATGACGTTTTAAAAGTAGTAGCTACAGGGTCCCTAAAGTACCTTGGTGACTGTGACGGCTCAACGCCTCAGTGCCTTGTAATGATAATGAATTGATATGCCTATCTAAACTAATGTAGCCATCAACGAGAATGTCAAATCTGGGGAAGAAAAGAGAGAAGAAAAATCTATCTACAGGACGAAGAGGCTTTATCAACAGGTAGTGTGGCGGCGATAGTACCTTTATCACTATCAGCCACTGATAGACAATACAGATTTTACAACTAGAATGCGAGTACCTGTGAAATCGACGCCGAAAATGGCCGCCAGTGAAGCCGTTTACAGCGTCATTCCCACACAGCGTTTCAAGAACCTGCTGCTGCTTTAACGTTTTAGTGTGCCAGAGTAGTTGATTGGACCGATGGTCTATCGGCTGGGCTAACTATATGACTACCGGGCAGAAAGCGAGGGCGGTCAGGCACGTGACCAGAAGGGTACTGTCGGAATATAGAGGTTCCCTACCGAACAATACCAACTGATGCCTGATTAATGCCTCGCTGATATCATATGGCGCGAGCAGCTTATTTACTCTGCCATTACTGCTTTGAAAACCGCACAATCGCTTAGTATACTCTATAAGATAGCCAACGGTCTTATATAGGATCCTAGATAGCCTCCTTTTGCGAGAATCAGAGACCTCAACCTTATACGCTCGATACGTACTCTCGACCCTGACTAAGCTGTGATTCCGACAGGTACTTACTGATAAGGATTGATCGGATAAGTAGTTGGCCCGAGAGCAAGGCCAGGAGATTCTTATAGTCGACGTGTGCACACATATTGTCGAGGGCTCGACGGCACCTGTAACCCGGCGCTCGGCCAGAGGCTTTGCCCCAGGCGTACCACAGCTGCGGAATAGCCACCAGATACAGGACTTATCCGCGCTAGTGAAAACTCGGAAACTCCGAAAACTGGAAAAGCCAAACAAACAGAGTGCGGGCGACCCAGGTGGCCCAACTATGGCACTCCCAGCCATACCGCCACCAGATGCGGACATGGAGGTGGAAACCCAGGCCCCCAGCAACCTCACCTGAGCCTCAGAGCCCAAACGAGCAGCTAGAGTTAAAGCTCTCAAAGCACGCCAACACCGCCCTACAAGCCCGGGCATGAGAGAAAAAGAGGACAAGGAGATAGCGGAGCTGCTAACTCTACTGGACAAGCAAGTTTCCGCTATGAAGCGGAGAAACCAACCCAGGGCCACATCTTTTGGCAATGCCCTCCAAAGCTATGTGCACAACTATTTCACAGAGCCCAGTGCTGAAGCATGTGACCAAGGCCCCATATCTGTCACGGCGCTCTACTAGGATAATAGAACATCCAACTCATGGGTTCTACCTAGGTAGTTATCAACGAGAATAATCAACATGAGGAAGGAAGAAAAGAGGTGACGCCGTATATACCAACAAAGCAAACAACCGCATCTCACGTAGTATTCAGCCAACGTGACCAGGCCATCACAGCATGATCGACAGGTACTTCTGTCTTAGCTGCCGGCTGATCGACAACCAACGAAGAAAATAGTTCAGCCTATCAGCGCATACTCGAGTCCAAATTCAGATATTGGGCTGTCAGCCTGTCAGAACCTACGTTGCTGCCTAGTAGGGGCCCAGGAGGGTTCCCACCCTGGGAGAGAAATCTCTGTCACCTCGTTCAAGTTGACCCCTACGACGATTTAAGTCCCCGTCTGGTTCCACCATATTGACTCTTTCACTTCCCCACTGTCTTCTCTCTCTTACCTGAATTCTAATTGAATCATCATTCAACATTGTCAGCTTTCCAAAATGGACCACCTCCGTGATTCTCTGCTGAGCTCTCTGCCTAGAGACACACCTTCTACCACAACGATCGACCATGCTCGCAGAGATCAAGAAGGTCACGCCAGTCTGTCGCTCGGGGTGAATTCAAAGAGGTTCGAGACATGGCCTTCAGTAACCGGACCTGGGTCGTTACCAGCCGATACTGCGATATTGGAGATGGTGTAGACTCCCTTGAAGGCCACATTCATTCCCTGTGGTATATGTACTACGAGCTTGGCCGAAAAATCTCCTCCGAATCACCTGAACATGAGGGAATAGTCCTCGATATCCTCCGCATTCAAGGAATGGGGCCGTTGACTAGACCTGCACGCGGAGTCTATGGGATTGATATCGCAAGAACCATCGACGGTACACTGTGGAACGATCTCCCCTTCTTGGCTGGCGATATGACCAATTTCTGGGTCAATCATGGTGCTTCTATGTCGGGGACACATCGTCTCAACTTTGCAACCTTCCTGGCTAAACTTGCATCCACTCGTGTCGCTAAGGATAGTTTGTGCCAAGTTTCTCTTCTGATCTTCCGTACTCTCTTTGAAAGCCCTCAAGCACTTCGCACTGGGGAAGAGTCAGACGAGGAAGATCTCAACCGAGGTACCAAGCAGCTTGAGGTCTTTCATCTGTTACCAGCTGCTGTTGCTTGGCTGAAAATAGCAAGCCACAACCTCCTTTTGCTATCAGAAGTGTATTGGAACGACTGCCCTAGCCACATCAGCAAGGGTGGTGAGGAGTTCCTCGAATCGGAGCTCGGACAGCGGTCACCTGCTGGATTCTCGCCATGGAGATACATGTTCTGGCTGAAGCGACTTCATGGGATTCAGGAAGAAGCTAGGGAGACCAATGAGAAAGCCCTGGAGGAGCTTGCCACCGATGGCATCCAGTACATGATCAACACAATCAAGCAAAGGAATGCTGAGGTCCTCAGGGCTTACAAGAATGGTGGCGGTGCCCTGCATCAGGATAAGCATCTTTCGTGCCTAAAGCCCCTTTCACGCCCAGATCTTTAATTAACCACGAGGTGCCGGGCGGTAAATGATTACCACTAGATCTCATCAGACCCTGAGGGTGATCCTCAACGGGTGACTCTCCGCCCCCAGGGTGGACAAACACGACAAACATAGGGACCTCATGGCCTGCATAATTATGCAGTATTGAGACTGTATTTTCTGGTATTCACTTTACATACTAAGAGTAGGGTAAAAAGCCAGGATGTCAGAGCATTCTATTGGAAAATGAAATTATGAAGCTGATACTATTTACATAGCTACCCACGACCAATCTCACACCCTTCTAGAAACCTTGATCGCTTCCGAATACGGTTTGATGTCCGCAATAGAGTATCGGGTAATCGAAGATCAGGCTGGTCAGCATCATCATTGTCCAGCTCATTAGACCCCTAGTCCTCATGCTCAGATACAACACTATTTCGAGGTTTACCTAGCCTGTGTTGACTAGGCATCTCAGGGCCAGACTGATATTGGGCAGACAATGCATAATCTTTCTCATCATCACTAATTGGGTCAAAATCTATCTGTATCTGTAATTTCTTCTCTTCATTTACAGCCTAAACTTCTTAACTTAAGAGATATTCATTAATTAATGTACTCTCTTCCTCCTTAATTTCAAATCGTGACGTACACAGAAACATCATTATATCTTGGATTGTTCTGGGACTGAGTGAGCCCCGAGAATAGTGGCAGGCATCTCAAGCAGTATTGAGTAGACCTCGTAAGGAGTCGCAATCCGACTCCAGAGTTTTTGGAATTGAATCTCAGGTTCTACAAATAGTGCAAACATAGAAAATCCTGTGATATGCATATTTTATGCAGATTTTGTCTGTATTTTTGCGTAATTAGTTTACAGCTCAGGTCGAGAGGTTAGAGCAAATAATTGTAGTAGAGAATCAGATGAGAGCTTTCAGGTTTTTAATTCTACTGTTCTTAAGGCTTATTATACACAAACTGATCTTCATCTCGCCTCAGACGCTTTGGAACCCGCCCTGATGTTCGCCTACGGGTATAATTTTCGCTATGCAGGTTGCTGTTATCAGGCAGAGGGGCTTCATCCTCATCATTCTCATTATCTAATTCAGTTGATTACTCCCAGTCCTCTGCAGCATCAGTTCTTGGCCTTTTACCAAGCGCACACTCACTGGGCGGCTGTATCAGTGGAGATATAGTCACTGGAGCATCTTCCTCATCATCACTAATTGGATTGGATTCATCTCCTGTCTTATGTGCATCATACTCTTCTCTTGCTGCTTGAATCTCCTGGGCTGTGAGATATTCATCCACAAGGGTTAGCTGCTCAGATTCAATATCAAATTTTGATGTACACATGAACATCATAAGATCCCTTATTGTTTTGGGCTTTAGAGAGCCTTGACGGTAGTGACATATATCACGAGCTGAATTGAATAGTCATTCAACACCAGAACCAGTAGCTGGAACTGTAAGCACATCTCGTGCCAGGCTTGCAAGGATGGGAAGTTAATGCTGTTGATCTTTCCAGAAAAGCCGTGGGTTAATCAGACAAGTGCCTAGAAATAAGATAAGCAAGGGGGATGGGAGAGATCAATTGAGTAGCATACTTCTTCCAAGATATCATGTAAGCTTGTTGTTGGCGTCCATCTGTGGCTGGAAGGATGTAGCTAAAGAGATCGCATCCCTATCACCCACACCAGCCCCACTTCTTGGTTCCGGAGAAATATTGGAATTAGGCCTCTCTTGACTATTCACCGTGTGGGTCTATGTGGCTTAAGTACGGCTGAATGGACAGGAAGCCCTGTACTCCACATCCTATGGTCGTATGTGTCTAATTTTGTGCTGAAACAACTTACAGCCATATTTAGAATAAAATAAGATCAAGTGCCATGTTAGGATTGATGGGTGGTATACGCTCAGAATTTGAATGCTTCAGTTTGTCCATAATCCATTGGTCCTATCATGCTGAAGAATTTGTTTAGATTCTCGAAAAAAGAACTTCTTTAAACTGCAAGCCCCCAATCACACCGCATTCATGGGATTTTCCATCTCATTAGCCAATCAAGCGTCTAGTGTAACAGATTCGCTGTAAACAGAGCATCTCAATGTATATAGTGAAGTATAAAATAACATAAACACCCATGAGACCTAAGAGCAACTCGAGCTCCCCGCAACAAACGTCCCATCCGAATTCTCACACCCACAGCTCCCATCATCCGGGCTCCGAATACATCCCGTTCCAGTACCTTCGTCTTCGCCATTCGAACTGCTTTTATTAGCACCACTCCTTACTCCATAGGAGTAAAAGGGGCAGACATACTTCCAGAAAAACACCCAACAATCCTCGTCCTCATCAGTGAGTTCGGAATTCGTAGGCGCGGTGCAAGTGTACGCTTCGCAGGTTCCGTAGGGAGCGCCGTGGGAGGAGTCGTATTGGTGGTCTGTTTTGAAGACTGCGAAGGTTTGTGTTTCTGTTCTTATTAATACTGATGTTTCTGCGGATGAATGGAGCGGTTGGGGAGAGGTACCGGATGTTCTGGTGTTGTGGGAGCATTCGGCTGCTTGGATGGCTGTCGACTTTTTGGCCGCTAGTATCTCAATGTTAGCTTTGTTCCAATATATTACTTGGTGCTTGGTGTTTATCGTACCAGAGCAGCTCGCACTAGCAGGGCATTTTCCCTTCGTGTTGGAAGCGGCTGGCTCGAGGGTTGCGGTGGTCAGAGCGCCGAGAGCGAGAGTTAGGATGATGGATTTGATGGAGGGCATTCTGTCAATTTTGCTTTTTATATGCTTGTGTTTGTATGAGTACAGGATCTAAATGTGATGTGAAGTGAAGGTATTTAAACATTTCAGGGGAAGCGTGGTCTGTTGGACCAAGGATCTAGATCGGTTCTAGATGTTTCATATTAATATACATGGATCCGTAACACGGTTTCATGGTGGCCTGCATGGCATAAATGATAACTGAGTCAAGAATTAAGGATATCAAGTATCAAACGACTCATGTCCATCTGTTGCACATTATTTACATCTTATTCATGCCGATTTATGCGTCATTAACCAACACATACCGATACCTCGCCTTCCCAGCATCCATATCCAAGATAGCCTGATTAGCCTCCTTCATCGGCACCTCCTGGATCCACGACTTGACCTTCTTGTCAGCCGCAACCTGCAACATTTCCCGGATCTCGCTGGGACTGCCGATCAACGATCCACCAAGCTTAACTCCCTTCATGATAAGAGCGGGAATGGGAATATCCAATGTGCCGTCCTCGGGGTTACCAAGCTGGATGAAAGTACCGCTGGGACGGAGCAGGTTGATATAGTCGAGGATAGGCATCTTGGACGACGAAACCGTGGAAATGATAAGGTCGAGTGTTCTGGTATTCTTGGTCGCCCATTCTGCGTCCTCGTCTGTGGCGATGTATGCATCTGCGCCCAGCTTCAATGCGTCCTCCTTCTTGTTCGACTTGCGCGACATACCAACAACACGGTCCGCACCGAGCGCCTTGGCGAACATGATCGCGTAGTGACCCAATCCACCAACACCAATGATACCAACGCGTTTACCAGGGCCACAGCCGTTCTGGCGCAGAGGCGAGTACGTCGTGATACCACCGCAGAGCATAGGCGCGGCCTCAGATGAGGAAAGCTCGTCGGGGATCTTAATCACGAACCTGGACGGGGCACGGTGGTACGAGGCATAACCACCGTACGAAGTACCCCCGTTCATAAACGTTCCGTTATATGTACCAGCGAAGTGGTTACCGCAGTACTGCTCACGACCGGAAGCGCACTCTTCGCAGTCGCCGTTGCGGCTCTGGCAAGATTCACCCTGGGCGCCAACACCGACGCGGTCGCCAATCTTCAGGTTTCCTTCGGCTTGCGATCCGACGCGCACAACTGTGCCGACGATCTCATGGCCCACGCAGCAAGGGTATGTAGTGGGGCCCTATAATCGTTAGCGTACGCTGGTAAATCACCCCGTCGGGGGTAATGCTCACCCATCCACTCCGAAGAGTATGCAAGTCACTCCCGCAAATACCACAGCAAGACACTTTGATATCGACATCACTTTCTTCCCAAGACTTGGGCTCGAATTCCTGCCAAACCATCTGGCCCTCGGCAGCGGACTTGTCGAGGCCGACCCAGCCTTCGAATTTGTAGTCAGACATGATATGCAATATAATATGGACAAGGATAATTTGTTAGGGCTGTTGAAACTACAAGGTCCCCAGACCGACAGGGGTATTTATATATTTACATGTTTAATGCATGCACGGGCATTAGAGTGCTGACAACGGCCGCAGTAAGTTGCTGACAATTATAAAATCCTAACTCCGGGGTAACTCCAGTCAGCAAAATTAATAAGTTTGCCGCGTTCTTATTAACTTGTGGGGAATCGCGTGGGATTTCATGGAACTGGGACGGGATGACGGGTGGGCTTGAGAGTAAGCATGTTGTAGATGCTCTCGGTCCAGATATATGCGGCTTACAGCGATATATATATATCTGGAGGGTCGCCAGGGATCGCGGTCCAGAGTAGATAGATGTTCTATTGGGTGTTTGAAGGGGTGCAGATCGAGAAAATATAGTACTATATAAGTTATTGATTTTTAAATCGGCATAAATGTACAAGTACTTTTTGTACTCGGTAGAAGTATGCATACGGACTGATACCAGGCAATATTTTTAAATTATATAACATAAAACAAAAAGAATTCTACATCAAGTCCTCGATGGTCTAGTGGTCATGATTTCCGCTTGTCAGCTTTGTAACTGCAAGCGCGGGAGACCTGGGTTCGATTCCCAGTCGGGGAGTTTCTTTTTTGCCTTTTTTATTTCGTGCCCCGGCGAAGGAACAAGAAAACAATACGAAGCGATGTAATACCGGCACAAAAAATCAAACTGAGCGCTGCAACCATGACAATCTAAGATCAAAAGTATTGACAAAGAGCTGCCGGGAATTTGTCACCTCCCCGAGCATAATCCCCGACGGATTGCTCTCAAGAAGTGGACCTTCACCAACAACCATCATGAGTCCACAACGAATATTCTGAGTTGGCTGAGTTTGCTTGGACCAGGATGTGAGGGCATACGTCCAAATATCCAGACGAAAAGCGCTTAACGCGACAAGGTAAGATAAACAAAGAGACGACGGATGCTTTGAAGGTCTTAAACTGTTGAATGTTGCTAGGAGAATTTCCGTGGACCTAGGACATGTGATGAAACGGACAGAGATTCGAGTTCATTTCTGGTATTTATGGACTTGCTTATATCTATTCTCTCGTAGAGTTTGTTTCATTCTCATTTATTCATTCTCTTTTAACCTCCGGGATGCCTTGGTTTGGATTACTGCTCAGTACAAGTGACATCAGGACATCTAACGGTAACTTGGCCGTCACGTCCCCCCTAATCTTCTACCTCCAATCCATCGCCATAGTTCTCCATTTTCCACATCACTGTCAACCCAAGTAGACCATCCTAAAGCTTTCACTCTCATCATGGAGTACATATCAACCCAAGGGAGTGACTACATCCTCGCCCCTGAGACAGCCCTCAGGATACTCAGGACACAGTCTGTCGGGATCATCATTCCAGTTGTTGTTTTTCTGTTTGGAGGGTTGGTATTCTGGCAAAGAAAATATACAGCTCAACAACTACCGAAGCAACATGAACGGGAAGAGGTGATATAAACCAGTCCTGTCACGGATGAAATCATAAGCATCGTATTAATAAAGTACTAGACTCCTTCCAACCCTGGTACCACGGATCTTCGACGGAATGAGGTCCTCAAGCTCTCGATGATGGCAAAAGCACTGCGTGACTGCGAGGAAGATGTCGTGAGGACGATGTTGCAGGAAATAAATATGTTGTCGGACTCGGCGATTGAAGACGCCATTGAATTGCTGTTTACCGATATCATTCCTGATACTGATTTTGAATCATTTCCGGACTTTATGGGCAACATTACTTGAGATTTGGAGGAGAATCTGTGATTATCGGTTGTATCGGGGTGTGGGTTTGCTACTTGGTTGTTGGGGGGAAACGACAGTGATGGGCGATGGGATATTACTGTTATTGCTAGCACAACAAAAAGGTCGAGGTAATTGCTTCAGCTGCTTTATATCTATTTTGTTTTTCTTTTCAATTTTTCCTGTATTCTCTTTCTGAGGTGACAACGGTCTAATATTGCCTGAGGCAAACACTTCCCGATTGGGAGGTAGGTTCACCTGCCTGTCTAGATCATCGTCTCCTTCTCTTTCTTACCAGCACCTCTTCATCTTCCCCATCACCGACTATCTTCTTAGAGCTTCTCTACAATATTCTACGAGTATTCTCTACTAGTAATCCTCACAATTCCCTCAAAACCATTGAACGACCACTACGATGTACCAACCACTCCAAAGTCTCGTCTCGTGGGTGACCAGCGAACGCGGTATCTACATCCTTCGCAGGACCGGTTTAGCAATACAAGCCATCTGTGTTGCCAGGTCGCTCTGGGCCTACCATAGTACAGACAAGGAACTGGTCGAGGCGCGGAAAGAGGTACTCTGCTCTGGCCCCTGACCCTCGATGCTCTTTTGCTGAACCTCGCTAACCTATATGTCTATGATACCAGGCCGACAACACCAAAAAAGGACTTGAGCGACTTCTTATCGCGACAACCTTCCTTCTGAGACTCGAGAAAGCCCTACGTCGTCGCCAGGAGGAGGTTTTGAAGGAGGCGCTGGAGAGCACGGGTGTTTTGTCGGAGGTGGTGGTCGATGATGCGGTTGACAGGTTGTTTACGGAGGTTCTTCCCACTGCGGATATAAAGGAATTTCCGGATCTGTTTCACGACATTATTGAGGGCGAAGAAACGGATTCGGGTTCGTACCCTTGATGGTATGTGGTGTTGTTGTTTGGGTTGAAGTTGACAATTGGTGTCGGTCTGTTTGCTTTATGGGAATTAATACGGCGTTGTTAGTATATAACTTTTACTTCGTCCATTTATACTGAGGTGTTCTGCAAGATGGATGGGAATACTACCGACGCAGGGTAAAGGATTGGAAAGACAGTTTTTATTAAATGAACTTGTTTCAGCAAAGTATAGCAAAAAAAACTTAAGATTCACGTAGTAGTCTTTTTCCATGGTTGGAGAGAGTAAGTGAATTGGCTAAACATTCGAGTGTTGTCTGGGGTGGCAGTCCTATCTTGTCTTTTCTCCACTTCCATCATAATCGATCCCAAGCTCATCCGTTGCCCATATTTCAATCTTTTTCTTAATTTACTACATCTACTTGCCCACTATGTCGACAATCTCCTTTCTCTTCCGTTTCTTCCAGCTGGACTGGTTGACCGTCTTACTCGCAGCCGTCCTCATCCACGCCATGAATACCTACCAACACGGCAAGTTCTTGCTCACTGAGTACGAATATCGAGTCCAGGAGAAAAGTGAGAAAGAACATAAGATAGCCAAGGACTATCAAGCTATGATTCTTTATCGACCTCGCTAATGTGTTTGTTTGATTAGATCGCCGTGTTCCTCGAACTGGTCCGGTGCTAATCGAAGCCATTAAAGCCATTGAATGTTTTTTTTTCCCACTTAGATAAAGATAAGCTAGCGTGGAACTGATATAGTATTGCATAAGCAAAGAGATATTACTTCTATAGTCATGAGGCCAGTATATGTCGGGTCATCATTCTGGAGGTCCCTGGTACGACTGGGCGAAACGGCAACACTTATGAAGTTGGACATATATCGAAAGAAAAAGAGAGATAAAAGTCCCATTGCGACAAATTTGAATAGTAGAAAAGACAGGCAGACATATCCACCCGATATTCCAATCTGCAAAAATCGAGTCGTACAGCAGCTGGCCCTTCTGATTCCTCGCGCAAACGCCGTCTAAGTTTATAATTCAAATATGGTATATATAAATTAGGGAGCCAAACAGCTCTAGCTCAGTAAAACGTGTAACAGGGCACAAATCTAGAAGATTTTGAATGGTCTTACAAAGATAATTGCAAGGCCCTAAACAGCAATAATGAGCATCAAGAGGAGGTTGCCGCTGTTCTAATTAATTAGCATTGTAGTAGCTGCTTTTGGAACGCGACATATTTGGGGAAGGTTAGATGCAGGATGCGTAAATGTACTGTATGATAAAATCGTTGGCGTATGCTTCTTCCAGATACAGTGTTCTGGTTCGTTCTATGGTAGTCATTCCAACGTGAATGTTGATCGTAAGTGGCTTGGTAGAGGCTGAATGGTCTGAGAGAGTTCATCAGGTGGATGACGAAGTAAGTAACCTTCTTAGATGCAAGGCAGAAATCTTGACTTAGGCCCTCAAAGCTGGATTGATTCCGTAAATACGATGAAAGGGTTCAGATAAACTGCATCGACTGCATAAACTCCTTAATCTTCCTTCAAAATTTGACATGACATCTTCAACTTTGACAATCAATATGGATATCAATATGGATAACGAATTCAGAGACTAAATTTTCATTGCTCCTGAAAACCCGTTGATTGATTTCTTTCCTAATGGTTGTTTGTTCAGTACATCCGGAAGCTCATTGCAATATCACTTTTGGATTTTCTAAAGTAAGACTCAGTCTCAAGTTGCACTCATTGTATTATAACTTGATTTAAAAAAGATTCATATTTAGTTTCAGCCTAGATATCTTCTTTTTCAGCCTCGGGCTTTCGTGACTTCCGATCTCTGATGAAACCCGGGACCGCATTTTCACGTATTTTGGCTGGGCTTCTTTAGTCGCTGGAGTCCTTTTTGTGCTATGGCGAGTAAGGCCATGACGAATAAGGGGCCAGTGCTATTCACAGACATGTTAAGGTTCTGGTTTCTGGTTAGCCAATATGGCCATGACTCAGGTTGTTTTGCATGTGTGAGCTTCAAGTCCAACGGAGAGCCAGAAGAGACCTTCTGAAGAAGAGCATACAAAATGTGGGCGGGCTTTCTACATTACTGTGAATTGGGTAGGGGCACATGGGAGTTGGATGACGGTGGAGAGGGTGAATGGAAAGGTATACAGCAGAGAAACACCTGGCCTCAATCATCGTATTTTGTTGCAGCTATACTAATCATCACAAATCTTCGCTTCTTTCTCTATATTCTCCATTTTATTCATTATCTTCCGAGCAAGTTCTCGTCCTCTTAGCAACACCACCAAAAACGGCATGATCTTCATATCTCTCATTCCAAACCTGCCAACGCTCAGGACAAAGCCCGGCTTTCCAAGTCCACAGCGAACCGCCTCCACTCTATTTCACCTCCTCACCCAGATAAAGTAGATTTCCACATATAGAAAGCCAGTCTAATGCAAGATCAATGCCCTTGTCTCATTCTGGAATGAACTGGGTGACAACATCGCGACGATGCGCATGCACTGAGTGGCCTCCCAAACGGCCACCAGCCTGGCTTATGGCGAGGGAGAACCAATTATAGGTACGATAATGTGTAAGGCCGGCAAGGAAGCAACTGGCGTCTCGCCACCTTTGCTCTGATTTTTCATCACAGGTGGGTATTCCTAGTTATCACGTTAGATATCATCCAGAGAAAGCAATAATGAGAAACTTACAATCAAGCTCTTCGCATATCGTACAATACATGTAAATCCTCCGAAAGCTTAGCATCATCGCCATCAATGCTAACAATTGGAGTCTTCGATACCAAGCCCTTGAGGGTTTTTACCAGTTCTGCAAACTTTCCCGTGATGAATGGTCATGGGAGATCTGAGCAGCAGTATAGAGAAGAAGAAGCCACAGATGCAAGAGGAAGCTCTCGGTTGGTTCTTTGGGTTCACCCTCCGGCTAGACTTCATTGCTTCGGTGTGTCGGGAAGAGAGTATTTAGAGCCTGGGCAGTGACTAGTGCTGGTATTATGCTGGAGGGCTGGAGATAGTTATTGAAGAGGTTGAACATTTTCTCTTCGATGATCCAGGGGTCGTCATCGTCGAATGCTAACTGGAGATCAGACATACCGATAGTGGTTATTTACAGACACTATGAAGGCGAAGGATTTCTTATTCAAGTTGTAGAATGAGAATTTTTATGCTTCTTACTTCTTGCTTAGAATCACGATTTAACTCGATCATATTCACAGGCTACCGCCTCTATACTTAGCAAGTGAACCACCGCCGGGTTATCATTATGCCAGTCCAGTTCTATAGTTTTGACTCTTATTGCTATATTGATGTTCCAGCGTTATTCCACCAGAGCCCTTTCGAGTTCGTACAACAATGAATGACTGACTGCTGTTCTGTGAATAGAGGGCAGAGAAAAATATTGATGACAATATGTCTTGCGATTTAACGTCCTGCTTCCAGTGCAGATCCGGAAACTGAAGTTCAGACACTATGCCACCTCGCAACACACGCTGATATCAACATTCCCGTTTCAAAGATTCACCGTGACTGGTCCGATCGCGATGGGCAATGTTTTGTTCTTGAAGGGCAGATGAGCGAGATGGTGCCTGAAAAGGCGTGGTCGGGACTATCAAAGGAAGAGAAAGTGGGTATCACGGAGGAAGTTGCGGATGTTGTCAAAATAATGTGATCGGTCACGTCAAGTGTTATACAAAGTGTCGACGGAAGCTCGTATTACCCGGGATTTCTATTCTTCGATATTGACTCTCGCGGGCCTTTCCACTCAGACACCGACCTCTGGAACGCGCTAAGTTGCACTCTCCACTATCCGCTACGGAAATCCTTCCCACAACAAGCCCTCCAGAACCTGAAAAGTCGCTTCTCCAAGTGTGAACCACACGTCTTCACAAACTGCGGTCTCAGTATGAGTAATATCATGGCCAGAGATGGGAAACTCATCGAAATACATGACTGAGGGTGCGCGGCTTATTCTCCCGTATGGTATGAATATATCTCTGCTTCGTGGGGGTTTATGGAGATGGATAGGGAGTGAAAGGGGTTGTTAAGAGAGCGTCTGTATTGATATAAAAACGCAAAGGCAATTTGGAGGGATTTTTTTCATTTGAGAGGATATCCGTATTTAGATGAGGGGGAGGGAGATCTTGGGGGGGGGGGAGGTGTTTGTGTTCGCAATGCCGGCTTTTTTTTTTTCTCAGATGGGATCTCGGTGGTGAACTGTATTTCAAGATAGTTTTCATGGTTTAAGACGTTTTAAATGCAACATATGAAAATTCCATTTGCAATTTTTTTTGACCGTTGGTTTTCTGACTAGACTTTCCTAATTAGGATATTGAGATATCGTTCCGGCAGTACGGTCCATCCAAACCTCATGTCGCCATGGTTCCGGAACCATTGATTTTTCTCGTATTTTCTGGTCCACAGAAAATTTAATCAGATAAATCAATTGAAAGCCAAAATAAGGTACATTGATAGGCATGTCAATCATGTCTATCTGCCGCATGTCAATCAGTGGAGAAGGACGATCTTTACTACGAGTACCATACTTTATTTACACAAACAAACAACCAAAATAAATTCTATATTCAGACAGTTTAAAAAAAAGATAAAAAGCAGTGTAAGTCACAGGATCTGCACAAATGAGCTAAACAAACGAATGACATCGGTCGGTATTTACACTAATAAACTATTCAAAATAATACCCAAAAAAGTCACTCGAAGTGAAAAAAATGAAAATTTACAGCAAGGTCATACCCAACCCGGCAAGCACAGCAGTAACAGCATAAGCTCCAAACTGCACCGATCCGAAGCCAATCGCTACACTAGGCGACACACCACTAGCAGCAGCACCCTCCGACGAACTCGAGCTAGCAGAAGCACCCTCCGAACTAGAACCAGACGAGCCGGTCGCGGTAGGCTGTGAAGTAACAGTGCCGGTACCCGCAGAGCCAGCCTCGCTCATCAGGCTCTTGCAGGTTCCGCTGGGGGCGGTGGTCGAGGTGGTAG